TGTAGGGACCTGGGATGAATGAGCAGACATGTCAGGAGCTCGGGCCAGCCCTCCTACCTCCTACATGTTCAGTCACTTACCTGTCCCTGGGCTCCCTCTTGGTCTGGGATTTGGGCCAGTTGGGTAGGGGCAGTCCCTTATAACCCACTTACTCCAGGGCTCCCCAGGCTGCTGGTGCAGGTGAGCAGCCAGCCTGCTGACAGGCTTCCTGTCTCAGCCCCAGTTAAAAGTGGCCCTTCCCTTCCAGGTAAGTTCCAGGTGGTGATCCAGAAGTCCTGAGGACCCCAGCCTCAGGAGATGGTGGCACTGTGGCCCTGTCTCAGCGGTCACCTCTGCAGGTGGTCTTGAAGCTGGAGCTCACAGGCTCTGAACTCATCATATGCTTCAGACCAGGGAATGGAAGGAGATGGAGGGACACTGGGGCATCACCCACATGACAAGTGTTCAATAAAGGTTCTTTCCACGAAAACAGACCCATGCAGTGGCTGTCACAAGTCCCTCTGCTCCCACCCCCACCCTGAACACCAGGCCCAGCTCACAAGCTCTGCCAATGAACAAGTCTGGGGCTGCCCTTGGCCCAGCAGGACACGGTACACGCAGCTGCACCCTGCCACCTTCTTCTGGTTGTATTTGTAGCATCTGAGGCTGCACCTGGATTTGAGCCTGGGCTCTGCTGCTCACTGCTGAGTGGGTAGATACCCAGGCCCAGGGACTGCAACCTGCGGTGGGGCTGAGACCTTCAGGGGAAGGAACAAGGGCCAATGGTTCTTTATTAGTTTTTAATTATGTGTATGTCTGCCGAATCTAGTCCGCTGCAAGAGCAGTATGCATTAATTATGTGTTTGTCTGCCGAATCCAGTCCGCTGCAAGAGCAGTATGCATTAATTACTGAGCTTTCAATCGCTCCAATCCCCAACCCCCAGACAAGGTCTCTGGGCTGGACAGGACAGATGGTTCAGAGGCTAAAAGTGCTTGTTGCTTTTGCGGAGGGCCCGGGATTTGATTCCCAGCACCCACACAGTGGCTTACAACCATCTATAACTCCACTTCCATAGGATGCGAAATGTCCTGTTCTGACTACTGTGGGCACCAGGTACCTACACATAAAAGCAAACAAAACTGTCATATAATAAGATAACAAGACAAGGTCTAGCTATGTAACTCAAGTTGACCTTGAACTCATAGGTGGTCCTCCTGCCTCAGCCTTCCAAGCGATGACTGATGAGTGTCACCAGGCTCAACTGGGTCCCTGTGGTTGTGGCATCCACCTCTAGAGAGATCCAGATGTCCCCTGTGTTCCCTGGCCAGTCCCTCCAATTCCCTACAACTAAACTCTTAGTACCACAGGTTGCATAGCTGACACCCTGCCTGGTCAGCCCCACCCTAGTCCCCTCTCTAGATCCAGCAGCCTTAAATTTCTGCCCTTTCTTTGCTACACAGCCTAGTGGACAGGACTGGCACTCCACGGTTCCCCTCCTCAGATGGGCCAGGGGACATTCCCCAAAGAAGGGAAACTTTACAGTGGGAAGAAAGTAGCCTGGCCTCGACAGCAGGAGGCAGTATGGCCACCCAGGCCCCCACTGATGCAGAGAAAGAATGCCACAGTATGGAGGGCCCTTTTCCCAGCATCATCCTGGTCCGACCAAGTACAGGGCAGAACCCTGGAAGTCAGCACTTCCTTTCAGCTCCCCACTCTGTGTGGTCCGGTGCAAGAAAGAGGTTTTGGGTCTCTGGGCCTCAGGTTTCTCATCTGTGAAGTGAGCATGACTTCTGTGGGCTGTGATGATAAAGGGGGCTACCGAGTGACCAGGTTCAGGAGCTGCTCCCTATGTGTGCTGTTGCCAGGTTTCTATGCGAGGCATCCAGAGCCGAGCCTGGTAAATGGGTCAACTGGTGCTGGCCCTAAGCGCCAGCCCCAGGTTGTATGGACTCATCCCTTTGACAACCCCAAGAAACAGGTGCCAATCTGGCCTATTCATCAATGAGGAAGCCGAGGCCCAGAGAGATGAAGTCACTGGCCCACGGACACACAGCTGTGCCACAGACTGGTGGAATTCTTTCGGCCTCCTCCCTCCCAGCAGAGGTGCGCAGAAACCTGGTGGGAGGATTGCTGGGGACTCTCCACCCCTTCCTGGGTTCATCCAGTCCAAGGTACCCAGTACTAGAGAGCAGCAGACCAGGCGCCTGCCCAAAGGGCGGGGACACACGCTGGAGAACCGGCCGAGCGGGCGCCACTGGGCTCCAGCCAGGCCTGCGTGCGGCCACAGCAGGGAGCTGGGGCCCGCGGGGCCACCACCAGGTAGGTACTGGGAGCCCTGACTGGGATAGGGGAGCATGAGGTGGTGGGCTGAACCGTTGGTCTGATCCCCAACCCTAATTACCCAGGTTCCCATTGCCCTGGGTCAGACAGTATCTTCCCCAGCTCATCTCGACTCCTCTGAACCTCTTAACACGCTGCGCGCCCCCACACCACTGCCTGAGTCTCCTCAGAAGGAACCAGTTTCACTTTGCCACAGACGTCCCTTCTCTCCATCCCCGTGTTTAGTTCCCACATTTATTTACTTACGCTTGCTTTTGTTTTGTGAGAGGTCTCGCTATGTAGTTCTTCCTGACCTCAAACTCAGAGATTCCCTGCCTCTGTTTCCTGAGTGCTGGGATTAAAGATGTGTGCTACCCTGCCGGGCAGTAGGGTCTCTTAGATTTTAGAGATTTTCTGGCGCTGCTTGGTGGCTCCCCAGATCAGGCTGCATCAGCCTCCTATAGCGCCCCCCACCCCGCGCCTCAAGTTCTATACTGGCCCCACAGTAACCCCTCATCATCTGGCTATTGGCTTTCCTTCATGGGGCCATTCCAGCTTCTCTCTTCAGTGCCTACTCCAGTGACCCAGGGAAACCCCCCTCCCCCAAACCTGAACTGTGCCTCTTGCCTGTCCAAGGTCACAAGAAGTCATCTTAGACTAGGCCAGAGGCCCCACCAAGCTGATCACTGACCCTTCCATCTAGGACTGGGCCACTGACGTCACGGCCCGCCATGCAGAAGAACTGCAATGTCCACTTCACCAAAAGTGGCCGGATGCCCAGTGAGCAATACTTTTTGGATCCTGACTCGGGGCACCAAAAAGGTAAGAGTTCAGTTTTGAGGGGGTGGAGCTGCGGCAAGAGAGGTGGGTGGGGTGGGTGGGTGCTGAATTTATGTGCACCCACAGAGACAGGCTCCAGGGAGAAGCCACAAGAGCCAATTGTTGTGGCACATGCCTGGAGTCCCGGCATTTCCCAGGCTGAGGCAGGAGGATTGTTGCAAGTTCCAAGCTAGCCTGGGCTACAAAGTGAGAGTGGCCTTACTGAAAAGAGCTGAGACAGGGTCTCGCTCTACAGCCCAGGCTAGCCTTGACCTCCTCGGCTCAAGCACTGCTCCTACCCCAGCCTCCCGTGAATCTGACACTCGAGTCATTCACGGCCATGCTTGGCTCTTGTAGAACCCAAAGACTGGAGTGTTCACTGTGGGGGGAGGGGGAGCAGGGAACTCCCTTCTGAAAGTCTCCAGGAGGTGGGGGACAATTTCCAGAGGAATCATACGGTGGGAGGAGGGGAGGCCCCCCGTTGAGTGTGTCTGAGGGAGTGGCTCAGGCTCCCACAAGGACCAAGAGGAACAGGAAGGGAGCTGTCACAGACTGCCGGGGTCTGACAGCTCAGGGCCCACCTGCCTTCTCAGCCCTGGCCTGTCCCTCTCCATGCCACTTCCAAGTAGATCCTCAGCCATCCTCACCCCCTAGGGATGCAGGAAGTTAGTCTCAGAATTTGGGGTGCCAAGATGCACGAATGTCTGGTAGTGTCCTCTCTCTGTCCTCCCTGGGAAGCACGGACCCTGTGTGTCCTGTGTCTAACCTCATCTGGGTTCTTCTTGCCCCTCTCACTCCTGGGGCCTCTGGGGCTCCCATGGATGCTCCAGTCCAGCCTTACCAAATAGCACAACCTGGTTCAAACCAGTGTCCTCAGGGGGACTGGGACCCAGTCCCAGTCACCTCCACTTCCTTCCTTCCAGGATGCTGTCGTCAGTGGTACCAGGACCCAGTGGCCACTCACGCCCACAGGCCCTGTCAGCTGCCCCCCAAGGCTCACTGGCAGCAGGCCTACCGCAGCCACCGGGGTGGCAGTGGCTGTCACAGGTGTCCCCAGCCCCTCATTCTGCAGAAACAGCAGCGGCAGCAGCAGCAGCGACAACCCCCACCCCTTCCTCCCAGCCCGCTGCGGCAGCGGCACTATCCAGTTTGCAGGACCCAGAAGGGGTCACCTGCAATCGCCGCTGCCCGCATAGGACCAGCCAGCGCCCCCCAGCCTGCCACCTCATCACCCACAGCAGTATCAGCCATGGCCAGCAGCAGCCCAGCCCTGCCCTCTGCAGCCGGTGCCCTCCTGGAGCCCAGCGAGCCCACCGAGGCGCGGCCTCTGCCTGCACCCCCAACCTGTGGCTCCTTCACCTCCTATGGCGCCGGTGCTCAGCCCAGGCCTTCCTTTTGGGGCTACATCCCCATCTGCCTCGCTTCCGCTCCCTGGCTGGTGGTGCCTTGGGCCTGTCCTCACTCTACACACACTGTCAGGAGAGGGTTTATCCCAACCCCTTGGTCTCTTCCTCAACTGTTGGGGACCCTGATTTCTGGGTCAGGCCTGTGCCTCTGCCCTGTCCCTCGGCTGGTGCCCTGCCTCTGCTTTCTCTTTTCTTAGCCCTCCCTCCACAGCTCACAAGGCCAGAGAGGCCGTGCGGCAGGAGGTGATGAGGACCTGGGACAGCATTTTGGCCAGCTGTGGTGTTGGGGGGGCACAGGTTGAGAGTGAAGGTTAAGGAAGATGTGGGGAGTGCATGGAGGAGGGGAGAGCACTCAGGGATGGGGGACACGGTCACCTGGTGCAGTGGGTCACAGGAAGAAGCTCAGTAAGGAGTTACAGGATCACTAGGTGACAGTCATGTTGAGGACAAATAAGACAGGCAGGAAAGGGGAACCTGGCTTGGAATGGGGCCATCGTTAGGGCAGGGTCATATTAGGCACTGAGGTGGCCTGCTCCAGGGACAGTCAAAGGCTTGGGGTGTCTCTCAGAGAAGGGGACACTGGGAGGAGGCAGCTACAGAGTCCATCAGGAGGAGGGAGGGGCTGGCTCATGACCCAGGTTTGGGGTGGCGATAGCAAAGGTGGGGACCCACAGCTGTTTCAGGACCGAAAGCAGAGCAACAGGAATGAGTGGGCACTCATGGCAAGGTTGGGCATGTACAACCTTGCCATGGCGCCCGGGGCCGGGAAGTCCATTTCATGCTCAGGAAAAGGAGGCTTAGTAAGGTGAGGCCACCCATCGATTAGGTATGGTTGGGGATGAGGTCCACCCAGGCCACTGTCACCTCAGCTCACCTTCTCCTAAGTTCTTCCTGGCTCTGCTACCAGGCACAGCCACACCTGGCAGCCCACTGCATCAGCTTCCACGATTGGGCCCTACCTTTTGGACACCCTAATTCTAGGTCTAAGAAGTAATGTTCAGGGGTACAGGGTGCCCCCTGCAGAGGGGACATTGTGGTTCTTGTGCACAGGGCCTTCTGGAATGAGGAACTTGTGTTCTAAATTGTCATTTGACTCAGGGGCATTGACCCACGACTGGGTCAGCCTCCTTCCCCTCCTTACTCCCTAGGGTCTTTGTCACAGAATGGACAAATGGCTCACAGGCCTTGCTCAGTTCCTAAGTCCCTGTGAGGAATTAGGAAGTGTGTGACGCTTTTGGGGGGTATGAGAGAGTACTATAGCCTCTGCGGGCCTTGTGCCCTAAGAAAGGTCTATGGGATCTTCCTAGGAGAACCACGGGTATGCAAAGGGCTGAGCAGGCCTACTGATCTAGAGCCAAGAAGTCCAGATTCTCCAAATCTCTGGGTCAGGGCTGGGGCAGAGCCTAGAAGGGGCATAGATGCCCTTCCATGGAGGGGCGGGACCTGAGTCACCTTGGGGATTCAGGGAGGAGGATGCTGGTGGCAGAGCAGGGCTGGCTGGAGGCATGGAGGGCACATGGGATGAGGGAGGGTGGCACCTAACCAGCCTCATTGACTCAGTTTCCCTCTCCCACCTCTAGACATCCTGACGGAGGATGATGTCTACTGCAGCTGTCTGGCTAAAACCTTGTGTCACGTGCCTGTCCCTGTGACCGTAGGTTTCTATGCTCCCTTTGGCTGCCGTCTTCACATGATGCTGGACAAGATCATGAGTGAGTGTCTGCGGGGGTAGGGCAGGACACACGGTCTCTGGTCCCTTTCCTGTTCGCCAATGCCCATCCTCTCCCTGTCACCTCCATCCCCACCAAATCTACTCTGAAGAACCTTCTTGAAATTTACTCTGGCCCTTCCCCACCCCTGCTCAAGAACATTCCTTGCTCCCTAGTACCCTAAGGAGAGAGCCTGGGTTTTTCACTAAGACTGTAAGCCACATCCCTGCTTTTGATGCAAGCCCTTCACTCTGGTGGGGGTTGAGAGGTCCCCAAGACCCCAAGCACACAGATGTACGCCGAAGATGCCAGCAGAAAGTTAGCCAGCTGTTGGACACAGCCTTTGCCACGCTCCATCATGGCTGGAGTTCAGCTCCTGCTGATCCCGCATTGCTCTAAGCGTGCAGTGAGATAGGAGATGAGGACACAGAAAAGGGTGCTCTGAGTTCCAGCCCTGGGCTAGGTCGTGGGCAGGGCGACGGTCCCGCTCACTCATCACCGGTCTCACATCCTGTCCCAGAGGACTCAACACCCATTGTTCAGATGCTGCCAGCGCCTCCTTGGTGCTTGGATTGAGGGATGGCTCTGCCCTCTCTGAGAGACACACCCATCTGTCCTCAGTAACACCAAGAGTGGGTTCCCACATTTCATTCATTCATAATCCATTCATTCATCTTGTTTCATTCATTCATTTATCCATCCATTCATCTCCTTGTACCTGGGCATTTCATTCATTTGTCCACCTATCCATCCATTCCCCCTGAGTATGGGGAATGGATGGATGGGACTTCCAGACTGCCTCACCCTCTTGCCTGGTCCCAGTTCTTTCCACCTCTGTCCCATCCTCTCTCCAGGGAGGTCCCTACTTTTGTCTTCGACCTCCCAGTCTCTCTTCAAGCCTCCCATCTCCACCTATGTGCCCTTGGGCCTAGTCCCTCCCTGCCATCTCCGCTAACACCTTCCCTCCCCTCCCTCAGCGCTGATGCAGCAGGAGGCCGCGCAGCGCGAGAGCGAGGAGCTGCAGCGCGTGCAGTGGCGACCGCGGCGCGTGCGCGGCTGGGGCGTCCCGCAGCTGTTGTGGTTCCTGGTGTTTCTGCAGCCGGTGATCACCGAGCTGCACCTGAGGCGCAGGAACGTGCGCTTCCTGTTCATCCGCTTTAGCGCCTGGCAGTACGCCGGCACCGACAAGCTGTGGGCGGGGCTGGTGACCACGTTGTGCGAGGGCATCCGCCACCACTATGGCGCGCTGCCCTTCAGCGTGTACTCGGTGCTGGGCAACAAGCCAGGTGGCCCACGCGACGGCCTCTGCCAACGCGAGTGGCACTGCCGACGCCGCGTGTGCTTGGCACTGCTGGCGCTGCTGGCCGCGCTGTGCCTGGGCGTGGGGCTGCTGTACCTGTCGCTGGGGGGCCATGCGCCAGGCCACTCGGGTCGTGGCGTGCTTAAGGCTCTGGGAGGCGCAGCCACCACGCTGTCGGGCTCGGGGCTGCTCATGGCAGTGTACTCCGTGGGCAAGCACCTGTTCGTGAGCCAGCGCAAGAAGATTGAACGTCTGGTGTCGCGTGAGAAGTTCGGCAGCCAGCTGGGCTTCATGTGCGAGGTGAAGAAGGAGGTGGAGCTGCTCACCGACTTCCTGTGCTTCCTGGAGATCTACCAGCGACGCCGGCTGCGCGTGGTCCTGGAGGTCACCGGGCTGGACACGTGCTACCCGGAGCGCGTGGTGGGAGTGCTGAACGCCATCAACACGCTGCTGTCCGACAGCCACGCACCCTTCATCTTCATCCTGGTGGTGGACCCCAGCATCCTAGCCGCGTGCCTGGAGAGCGCGGGCAACATGAAGGGCACCGCAGACAACGGCTACCTGTTCCTCAATCGCACAGTCACGCTGCCTTTCTCCGTGCCGGTCATGGGCCGTCGCACCAAGCTGCAATTCCTGCACGACGCGGTGCGCAGCCGCGACGATCTGCTGTTCCGGGAGTTGACACGCAAGCTGCAGCCACAGAGCCAAGGCTCGGGCGCCGGCGAGGGAACTCAGCTGCTGGCGGTGGAGACGCAGGCGGATGGGGAGCGCACGCAGGGCCGCGTGGACGCGGAGGCTGCGCGGCGCATCCAGGAGGCGCTCTGCTGCCTGCACGACGAGCACGACTGCTTGTACGAGTATGTACCCGACAACGTGGTGTCCATGCGGCGCATCGTCAACACTGTGCCCATCACCGTGCGCCTCTTACAGCAGCAGCAGCACCAGCAGCCGGACCGCGTGGGACCCACCCCGCGCCACGCTGTGGCTTGGGTGGTGCTCGCCAACCAGTGGCCTTGTCGCCTCAGCTGGGTGCTGCAATGCCTGGAGGACCGGCAGCAGGCGGGGGGCGCGCCCGAGGGCCGCGCACGTCTCTGGGACGTCTTCTGCGACAACAGTCGCGAGCTGCACACCATGACCAAGGCCTTACAGAATGTGCTGGACCTGGATGGCGACCCCGAGCTTTTTGAGCGCTTTCTGGGCACTGATTTCCCATTCACTGTGGCCGAGGCACAGAGTTTGCTGCGCTGCACGGTCAACCTGGACCATTCCATCCGCCGCCGCATGGGCCTCATCAGGGCGGTCAGCGCGCTCAAACCACCCAGCCCACCCAAGTCCCCATCCCGGGATGATCCCCAGGCCAGTCACCGAGCCAATAACAAGGCAGGGACATCCCAGGTGGCCCATGGATCAGGACACAGTAGAGAGGCACATCACCCTGGGGACCGGACCGGCAAGCCAAGGCCGATGGCCTAAAAGTCCTTTAATTTCAGGGGTGTAGAGGTCGCTTGCGTTTGAAACGGAGAACACCAGCAGCCACAGGTGGCAGCAACATTCCGCCTGCCCTGATGAGGGTGTGAAGACAGGGCTGGGCTCAAGACCAAAGGGGTTTGGGATGGCATACACCCTGGTGACTTTGGAAGCCAAAGGGCGGCAGGTAGTAGCTTCCTGGAGTAGGCTGTCAGCGCACCAGTGTCTGAGCCAACAGAGGGGCCAGTGAGGAACACAGGAGTCAAAAAAGCAATAAAGGAAACTGTGGAAAGCCAGGGCTGGCCTTCATGTCATGGATTTCTGGCTAGGTGAGGATGCCACCTGCCCCAACCTACTTCCTGCTCAGGGAGCCGGGCCTCTGAACTGCATCCTAGCAACTGATGTTGGCATCCCAGGTGGTAGGAGGCTTGCGGGGGTGGTGGGTGAGGCTGCGGGGGCAGGGGAGATGAAGGGGAGACGCCAAGTTGACTCAGGCAAAGGGAAGCACCCAGGCCTCAGGGGATCCCAGGCCTTTGTTCCCCACACCCTAGCCTGCCCTCTGTGGGCAGAGCAGGAACTGACATTTCCCAGGGCGGTGCCTGTGACTTCACCAGGTGGCTCCACCCCTCAGCATGTTGGTTAAATAGGCCTCAGCCATATGGGGTGTGGACTGCCTTCCCCAGATAGGCAGGTAACTGTCCAAGAGGAACTATTAAGGATATGCCTGTTTTACAAGTCACTCCGGGGCCACTGGCTGGGGCTGGTTACTGACTGTGAAGCCACGTCACCAGCAGGGAAGTTGAGGAACAGAGATTGAGACATGAGGGGAATATAGAGTCAGAGAGCAAAGCCAGATGGGACAGACTGTGGCTGGCTTGGGCCCTTCCCTGCTAGCATGATCAGAGACCAGGGATGAGTGTCACTCCTGTTGGAGAGTCCCCAGTGGTCAAATATGCTACGCTCAGGCTGGGGTCCCTCATCCACTACAGTGTGGAGAGAACTCAGCCCTGAATTACACAGACACCTATGGTCAAAAGGATGACTTTGTTTTGTGGTGCTGAGGATTTATGACAATCTCCTGCCTGATAGACAAGCTCTCTACCACTGAGTCACACCCCAGCCCCTCACTGGGGGCTCTAGGCAGGGGCTTACTGCTGATTTACACTCCTGACCAAATCAGTGACTTTTGAGCCAGGACCCGGAGGACTAAGAGGACAGTACCCCTCACCCAGAAACCAAGAACTCTCTCCCACTCTCAGGCTATGTGGTTCATTGGTTGTTGGTATTGGCTTCACATCCCTTAGGTCTCGGGCTAAGCCAGTCCACCCCTGACTTCCTTGGTCTCTCACAATTACTGGCTTAGTGAACACAGGTCAGAGGGTCCCTGTAAACCATTAGGAAATGTGTCTTTCAGCCTTGTTGTGGCTAAGCTCATGTTTGGAGTTTCACAGTGCTGGACATGGCGGCACACACCTTTCCTCCTCCCAGAACTCCAGAAGCAAAGGCAGGCAAATCTTTGAGAGGTCCAAATCAGCCAGGGCTGCATAGTGAGACCCTCTCTAAAAAATAAATTAACTAAAAATATATGTTTTAGAAAATGGCTCTGCAATCAGTCAGCCAATAAAGGCATTTGCTGTCAAGTCTGACAAGCAGAATTAGACCTTTACCAACCACAGAGTGGGGGTTGGCAAGATTGCTGCTCTTGCAGGAGACCAATCTTTGGTTTCCAGAACCTATGTATGTCAGGAGGTCTAATATGGGACAATGGTCTTGTACCCTCTTGTTTATATTGTATTGTTTTAATAAAACGCTGATTGCCAGTAGCCAGGCAGGAAGTATAGGTGGGGCAACTAGAACAGAAGAATTGTAGGACGAGGTAAGAGTCAGTCCGCTGTTGTCACAAATGAGAATGCCTCACTGATAAAAGGTACCAAGCCACGTGGCTAACATAGACAAGAATAATGGGCTAATTTAAGATGTAAGAATTAGTTAATAAGAAGCCTGAGTTAATAGGCTAACAAGTTTATAATTAATGTAGGTCTCTGTGTGCTTCTTTGGAACTGAATGACTGCAGGACTGGGCAGAACAGAAATCTCAGTCAACAGAGGTACCAACCACTTCCACCTGTTACTTCAGCTCCAGGGAATCCTATGCTCTTTTGATCCCTGTGGTCACTGCTCTCACACAGAAGTACAGGAAGTCACTGTACTGACAGGGCCTCCAGACTCCACCAGGTCCCACTGATGCACAGGCTGTGGGGGTCAGATGTCTCCCTTCCCATCTGCCAGGCTGTACTTGCTTCTTCACAAGGTTGAGGCTGGAACAGGGGTATGCCAGGATCAGTCAAGACCACCCTAACTGGAGCTGGAGGACCGAGACCACAGAAAGCTGAAGCGTTTGCCAAGTGCCACAACCGGGTTGTTTTCTTACGCAGCCCAGACTGACCTGTAGCAGAGATGAGCTTAAGCTTGCAATCCTCCAGTCTCCACTCTTGGATGCCTCACTCCATTCTGCTTACTCTATCTTGAAGACTGACTGTGTGTCTGCTAAACCCAAACAGACTGTCAGGATTTAGTCCCCGTACACCACAGGGCTTCGGTGTGATCTCACACAGGCCAAGGAGCTGGCTGTCACCAGTCAGAATTCTAAGAGCATTCTAAGAGTATCTCTGCTACTGCAATGGGCTGAGTAGACGAGAGCCTCAGTCTGTCCCAGAACCAGCGATGTTTGTAGCCCTTGGGGTTGACTGCCAGCTTGCAGGGGTGGTGTCCCTGACACTTATGGTGGAGAGCAGCTGCCCCCAAGCTGAGTTCCAGGAAGTCTAGCAAGGAACATATCCTGTGTCAGGGTGTCAGGGTCACTAAGATGGGTACAGCTTCAGAACAATCAAACCAGGTGGGCATGGCACTGCATACCTTTAATCCCAACACTCTGGCAGTAAAGGCAGGCAAACCAGTCTACAGAGGGAGTTCCAGGACAGCCATGGCTACACAGAGAAACCCTGTCTCACAACAAAACACAACCAAAACCAAGAGGGACAAATGGCTGCTTTCAGAGGGAAGAATTATGTGGCCAGATGATCACCTCCAGCCTGCAATGCCATGGTCCTGGAAACCAACTCTCCAGAGCTGACACTGTCTCCTGCATATGGAGATTCTGAGAACAAGAGAGAACTTTCCCAGCTGTTGTTTGTCACTCCAACCCAGCTGTCACATGGTCAGCCCTATGGCTGTATCCACATTCTTTCCTTTTCTTTGGTAAGAGCCAGAGGCTCTTGCTGTACTTCCCAGCCTGGCCTGGAGTTCCTGGGCTCCAATAAGCCTCGCGTCAGCCTCTCGAGTACTGGAGACTACAGATGGACAAGCAGGTGCTGAGGGTGGAACTGGCGTGTTTGGTGGGTACTGTACCACTGAGCCACACCCCGGCCCCCAATTCCCTTTCATAAGTACCCTTTCATGCTAGTTGGGGCCCATCCTAAGGGACTCCTTTTCACATGATCATGTCGGAAATGAGCTCCTGGGACTTTGGACCTCAGCACCTCTCTGAGGTGGACATCGTCTCTGCAGCAGTTGGGAAGGACCGATTTCTCATGCCATGTTGAGCTGGTACAAGCAGAGACATAGCTGGAGAAAGGAGGAGTCCTCCCAGACCCATGGAGGGTGTGTACAGGGCCAGAGCTACTGAGACTTAATACACTGACCACAGCCCCTGAGGTGTGGGACTATACTCTTAAGACCCCACCAGGCAGGCTTTCCCCAGAACCCAGAATGCCTCAGTTCCTGCCCAGCTTAGCCCAGAAGGGGCCAGTAGCAGGGTGGCTGTACTCGTGTCTTCTGTGGCTTCCCAAACAAGTGTCCGGAGTGCCTTAAGGAGTCGTGAGGTTGTCTGCAGCAGCTGGTGACAGAAATACAAGCCTTTAGTGTTTCAAAAAAAAAGGCTTCTGTGCTGGGGAGATAGCTCAGTGAATTAAAAAAAAAAAAAAAAGCTTGTTGTACAAGCCTTAAGACCCAAGTTCAAATTCCAACATCCATGCAAAAGCCAGACAGTGTAATGTGGCCGCCTGTAATCCCAAGATTCCTATGAGGAGATTGGAGCAGACAGAAGAATCTCCAGTTCCCGGGCCAGCTAGCCTGCTGAAAGAGATCCTGACTCAAATCAAACGCAGTAGAATCTACCCGGGGCCCTCTCTGATCTCTGTGAGTGTGCCACGGCAGGCATGCACCATATTCAAACACTAATTTGTACACACATCCATGTGCCTAAAAGTTAGTTTTAAAAAGTCTCTGACAGATACAATTGTGGGGTACAGAGGACTCCTACGTTTTTTGTTTGGTTTTAATTTTTCGGAACAGGGTTTTGCTGTGAAGCCCTGGCTGTCCTGGAATGCACCCTGCAGATCAGGCTGACCTCAAATTCAGAGATCCGCCTGCCTCTGACTCCCTAGTGCCACCTAGTGAGCTACCACACCTGGCAATTTTAGTGCTGCTGAATCAAGAATGACTCCCAGGTTTAGGACACCATGAGGCTGCAGGCATATTCCCATACAGGCAGGCGGCAGGCATTTCCTATAGATGGCTCCCCTACTTTTCACTTCTGGTCGTGCCCAAGACTGAACCAAGGCCACATCCAAGCAAATAAGTACCCTGTTGCTGAGGCCCACCTGGCCCCTCACTGATGGAGTCTAGGCCAGGGCTCACTGTAGGGCCATATTACACAGACCTCTATTTCTACATGGTATGGCAACCAGAATTCCAGGCCACAGTTCAGGCCTGCCACACAGAAGGTGGTCACCTAGCCTTTGGAGACAAACTGGCGTCATTCTAAACAAAGGGTCAGGATATACTAATGTTGCTCGGCTCCTTCTTTGTAATTTGGGAAGTCGCCTGGGAAAGAGGTGTTAATTTAGTCTGTGACAGAGCAGACATAGATAGGAAGATGTGACAAAATGGGCATAGAAAGGTGTGGATGTGAGCAGAGTCAGTCTCCTGGCTACCTAGGAAACAGAATGCTAATGAATTTCCCCCTCAGTTTATATTTTGGTATAAAAGCTGTTTGGAGAATAAATGTGGGTGATTTTTCAGGATGTAAACTCAAGATTTCATGAGGGATCCCTGAAAACTCCCTCCCGATAAAGCTGTATGAGTGTGTCTTTATTCCCACGATTTCCTGCTGCTCAGAGAAATAATTTATGGTTCAGGCTGGTCCCTGACCATGACAGTGGCGCCTAACATGTGGCTGATTGGTGAACACCCAAAACCACGAAGTGACCAGACATATGGAGAAAACCATGAGGAAC